CACGCATTTCCAACCATAGTGCCACGAAGAAAGCACAACTAAAACTGACAAAAGACAGCGGACGATGTCGAATCGAACCACTGCAGCTGGAGATCTGTTGATTGATCATGTGTGTGAATGCGAACCTCTGAGTCCCATAGCGAAGCTGAACGAGGTGCCGAGGTTGTGGGCTGATGTTGAAGAGACGCTGAAAGGGTGGTTGACCGGGTCTGGTGGGTCTGGATGGACAGACCAGTCCGTTAGAAGGATGGTTAGATGTACCAGGTACACTATGGTGGAAGATGAGTGGAACAAGTTCCCGAACTTGGCAGAGGCGATATGGACTATGCTGAACGGAGCGGTGAAGAGATTCATCCCAGATGCTTCATCGTGGCAAGGGAACGAGATTCTCTATTTCATCAACGACAAGGTGCTCAACTCCCCGGTGGATGTTCTGATTTGCCAGTTTAACCGTGGAACCTCACTAGAGAAGCTCTTTGTCATGGATGAGTTCTTCAAATCTGCAAAGCACACCCACAAGCTGATTTCCAATATCGTGAGCATGAGCGATTTGAAGAGAGCTGAGGTGAGATACATCTGTGAAAGATTTGCCATAAAGAACTTTGATGACTTGCAATCGTTCCCCCGTCCATCGTTGGAGCTTGCTGCTGCAAAGATCAAAGAAGGAAGACCCGGTGCTGCTCCAAAGCCCCAAAATGTCGAACCAGTGAACAACGACATAGATGACAACAAAGCCACTGGAAAGAGCAGTAAAGCTGATGCCAGAGCTGGTAGCTCTTCCTCTACTTCTTCAAGTTCTCCGGAACCTGCCAAAAAGGATATCATGCGATTCAAGCATAAACTTTGTCCATTGCTTATGTATGACATTGAAGACGACCAGAACCAAGTTGTCGAACACTTTGCTAGGTTCGGTGTCTATGAGGACGAGTGTCTTCTTCTCAACTCCACGCTTGATATACTAGCAACTTTGACTTATGCAGGTGAGGATTGTGAAATCACATGGCATGAGAGCTACACCCTGGCCAACCCTGGAGTTGGGGAAGGTCGAGTGTACCATGCAATTATGTCACAAGAATATGGCTCTTGGATCTACGATGCACTTGAAATCCATAGAAACATGTTCCACAAGAGCCCTGAAGAACTCTGGGAGGAACTGGATTACCTGGGAGTGGACATGCCAGAGGCCATTGAGCTAGAAGACTTTGAATACTGTATCAAGCAGTGTGTGTGCTACGATCCAAAGTACACTGCTTCCGCACCCAACGATGTTGTCTTCATCTCTGCCGTTCCTGGACCTGACCACAGCACTTACTTCACTGCAGTGGATCGCTACACTGGATTCACGATTTTACGTCCTGTGAGACACTTTTTCCACCTCGATGAGATGGCTGAATTCATCTCTCTTTTGAAGCAGATGGCCCAGGATGGAGGAAGAACTGTCAAAAGGGTTCTGTGCTGTACTCTGTCTCGTGATGAAATCCCTCCTTTCATATCTGCCTCTGATTATGACAATACCCCTCTTATAAACTACTGCTCTCGCAATGGCATCAGCATCGAGTTTGAAGACCCCGGGGACATGGACACTATGAGGTTGATCAAACAAGAGTGGAGAATAAGGGTCGGTGCCACTCTTGTAGATGGTGGGTTCTGTCGAGAGTTCTGGCCCTGGGTGTCCAGACATATCGTTGCCATTGATAACAACTTCGTCATAAGTACAGAAGCTGGACATGGTGAAGCTGGGAGACAGACGTCATGTGAGTGCTTTGCCGATTGGAGTCGCAGCCTCCATGACGTGTTCCGTAAGCTGACTGAGTTGAAGATAGGATCAAAGATCAGATTTAAGGACAATAGGGGCGTTATGGTTAACGGTGTGTACCTGGGGTTTGTCGATTACAAACTCGAGACCATATTTGCCTTTGATCCTGTACTCAAACATGTCAGTGTGACGGATGATTTCGAGCTTGTCGGACCACCTAACATTGCATACAACAGAACGCTGGCCTTGTAAAGGCCGTCGTGGCTGTTTGGTTGATTGACAACCATACGCAGCACAAAGAAAGAACACTAAAACAAAGTATCTAAAAGAGTACTAAGCTCTATTGAGTGTATATAACCCTTGCTAATGACCCATGATTAAAGAGTATTGATGACCCTGTCAACTGCAAACAGATCAACTAACAGCCAAAGCAGCCAAACCTGACCTGGAAATGTGTTGATGGAGTTTGCGGCTTAACCCTGGTTTTACCGGAGTTTAGGGCTAAGCACCTTGCCCTGCCCCGACGGAGAACAAATCCGAAACCCGAAAAGCGCACTAGCAATTATTTCCAGAATATTCGAAAACTCTCCAAATTAACACCCGAAAGGGAAACTATCCCAAAAGGGGCTAAATTATTAACCGTTACCCTACCCTAAGCTGTCTTTTGATTTCTAATCCACCGATCAACGATCGAACTCTAATTCTAAATATTTTTTTGCTTTTGTGGTTAGCCGCGCTAAGGTGTCATAAATAAACAAATCTGCGCCCCCCCTGGAAATCGTTCCTTCTTTCCTTTTCGCACTCTTCAACATTCTATAAAGAACAGGAAAGAGGTTTAACTCGCGAGGTAGAAACACCATTGGATAGACAAAGAGGAGAAGTTGTTTCACTAAGCTTTCTCTCCATCGTCTGTGCCTGAGCTTTTCTTCATTCGCGTCATTTCTTTTCTATTTGCTACGTTTTGAACAACCACAGGGGAAACAGCACTAGTTTGCCACCGGAAGAAGCAAACCATCAAACACAACAAGAACATAACGACATGACATCTCTCACGGTTTTTCCTAAGCTCCGCCGCACTTTGACGGACGTTATGGAGGATGAACTATACCACGTTCCAAATTCACCATATACGCACTCCAATAACTCCAATACGAGTATGTCCTCGATACGCCACGACACTCTGCTCACGATACCAGACTTGCCAGAGTCGCAGTCGCAGTCGCAGTCTTACACGTATAGCAATAGCCCCCAGCTCTCACAAGTACCTTCTAATGACCACACCATGATGACCTTCAACGACCAAGATGTGCCCGTATTCACGTCGTATGCGGACCCGGACTCGGTGCCCTTTACTCAACCACAGCTCTACGAAAACGAACCTCTTGTGAAGTTCAACGACGATCTTACACTATCGTTATTTGATGAGAGTGATGGATTGGTGATGTGGCCACAGGAACTCCACGTTGCTGCTCAACAAGCTGAGCCACAGGCTTGGAATGAAGAATTAGAGGAGATGCTCTCCGACTCTGAAGATGAATACTTTGACACTGATTGGGAAGAGGAATACGAAGGCGTTGCTGGTCCACGCTTTGGTGAGTTGAGACGTGAATCCATGTCTGCACCATGTGCCATCCGCTCAGGTAGAATGTCCATAACTGGATCCGCCGGAAACGTTCCACAGTTGGCTTCTCAACAAGCATCAAGTTTCCAAATGAACATGGTGAAGTCTGCTCCAACCGCTGTTGCTGGGAACTTTGGTGTCACTGCACCGGTACCTATAGACACGGTAAATGCAAGTACTACAAGCCCGGCAAATCTAATGAACACTACGATACCAAAGGCACAAAAACCGACCGTTACAGACAATGCTAATATAAATACCAGTTCCAGACCAGCCACTGTTTCAAAGTTAACTCCAAATCCAAATGGTGTTGCTAAACAGTCCAATACCAATCAGCGCGCTGATTTATCAAGTTTGGTTCCAAATGCTCAAGGATTACACCAGTGTCAATTGCTCAATCCACAGACGAACGAACCGTGCCTCAAGTCATTTTCAAGACCATATGATTTGATTAGACATCAGGACACTATCCATGCTGAGAGAAAGAAGATTTTCCGTTGCATTGTTTGTTGCGGATTGTACCCTCATGCATTATACCCAGATAGACCTCGTCAAGATGATGACGTTGAGATGATGGATGTTGATCCTTCTACAAGTACAACTTCGAACCTGAGATCCAAAAAGGAAAAGACGTTCAGTAGAGGTGATGCACTGAGTAGACACGTTAGAGTCAAACACGAATTGAGTGGTGAGGATGCAACAAGGGCCATCCAATGGGCTAAGGATAACGTTGAGTATGCTTAAGGAGATGCAAGGTTTCTCCTTGTGTCCCATTTTCTATTTTAACTCAAATATAAGGGATATTGGTGTTTAGTTTTTTTTTGTTTATTTTAGTTATATTATTCTTCATCACATATACTATTTTGTTTGAAAAGACGGTTGATGATATACATATAATCTCTATGTAGAGTACATTTGATAATTTGGTGAATGGGTGACAGCCCGGTATACCAGGATATTGTTGGTGTTTGGGTGTTTGGGTGTACGGATGTGACTTTTCCCATTCACGTGATGGTAGTGTGAATAGTTGTAATTATTCATTCATTAGGCGGCATTTCAGCTCATATTAGTATCAAATATCCGTTTATTATGTCAATCATAGTATCCTAATGACCTTTATTCCATTATTTTGAGAAAAGTAGTTCCAATTATTAATCATATTTTCAGAAAATGGAAAGATAAATTAATTGAGAAAAGTTAATGGTAGAAAGCTATGTAGAGTATAATTGATTGATTATCCTGGAGTTGAACTTTTGTTCACACACCGAGTATAATTCCCAATGATTACTCTTTCTAACTGAAAAATAGTCCAACCATGGATTATATTCGTGCATTCCATTAACCAAAGAACCCCGTTCTGACCCACTTGGCCATGCTATGATACATGCCATGTACATTTGCACTACAAATTCGCGGGTGTGCCCTTTGTAACATTTGCTCTCAGCCTACGGTACAGCCAAACTACACATCAAGCACCGAAGAAAATACACAGCAAACACCTACCAAATAACTACGCTGTAGTGAATAGTGCAAATTGTGATATCACAAAGAAACCCAATTCATTAACCCCTAATTAAATTATAAAATGAACCACCCTTAAAGAAAAACAGATAAAGAGAAATATACAACATTAATGAAAAATAAAAGTTCATCAGTTACCGAAACCGTACAAGGTTCTACCTTGTCTCTTCAAAGCGTAGACGACATCCAAAGAAGTGACGGTTTTTCTCTTTGCGTGCTCAGTGTAAGTGACAGCGTCTCTGATAACGTTCTCCAAGAAGGACTTGAGAACACCTCTGACTTCTTCGTAGATCAAAGCAGAGATACGCTTGACACCACCTCTTCTGGCCAATCTTCTGATGGCTGGCTTGGTGATACCTTGGATGTTATCACGGAGAATCTTTCTGTGACGCTTAGCACCACCTTTTCCCAATCCTTTTCCACCTTTACCTCTACCGGACATTGTTAATTGATTATTTGGTTGTTGTTGTGTAGTTGAGAAGCTGGTGTATTCGCAGAAAGGACAACGGAGGTGAGAATACTGTGTCCTTTTTATATCCTGCGCTTGGAAATGAAACGACGAACACAGAGCCACAAAACCCCTTAAAATCTTGCAATTACTCGGTGGCGGGCGACTGGGACAGAGCCCGTTCCCAGATTTACGCGGCGAGATGTGTAGAATACATCACGCGGGAAAAATATGTTGTGCACCGTTGCGGTTCAACATTTCCCGCTCTCGCACCGTTGGGATTTGTATGGCCATGTTGTAGCGCAAAAAACGAACGTCGCGCGGTTGTGTGTTTTTTGTTTGTTTTGTTTGTTTTGTTTGTTTTCGCTTGTTTATCGTGCTGATATTTACACAGTGAGCGTGCGTAAAATGTGGAACGCATTGGTGAAAAAAAGAAAAAAAAACGTAAACAAAAATACAGCCTGAAAATTACACAGTGGACCTGTGTAATTTACAGAACAGATAAGGAGAGGGACAACAACGGATTGAGCCACAAAAACGGGAAGGCGGAGGGAGTATAAAAAGGGAGTGGGTTGGCCTATTTCCCCCTTAAAAAAATTTCCCATTAGCCGCTAGGTTATAGAACATCAACAACAACAATGGCTAGAACCAAACAAACAGCAAGAAAGTCCACTGGTGGTAAGGCCCCAAGAAAGCAACTCGCTTCCAAGGCTGCCAGAAAGTCTGCTCCATCCACAGGTGGTGTCAAGAAGCCACACAGATATAAACCAGGTACCGTTGCTCTTAGAGAGATTAGACGTTTCCAAAAGTCCACCGAGCTTTTGATCAGAAAGTTGCCATTCCAAAGATTGGTGCGTGAAATTGCTCAGGATTTCAAGACCGACTTGAGATTCCAATCTTCTGCCATCGGTGCCTTGCAAGAGTCCGTCGAGGCTTACTTGGTTTCCCTCTTTGAGGACACCAACTTGGCTGCCATCCACGCTAAGCGTGTTACCATCCAGAAGAAGGATATCCAATTGGCCAGAAGATTGAGAGGTGAGAGATCCTAAGGTTTGAGACTTTATCATGGGGATTTATTATTTTATTATTTTTCTGACATTGTTATGAATGTAATTGGAGGGTTGGAATGTTTCTTTTTCTTTTAATGATTCTTTTTGGTTTTTTATGGTTTAGTAAAAGGAAATCGGTAATGTACAATTGTCTAACCTGTAGAGCTATTTCATATACACACACCTGTCTTAAGCTGGTGGTAGGAAGGCACTGTACAGCAGCGTTCCTATCACCAACCATGAACAGTTGTACAATATCCAGCCTTGTCCCCTTTTATGACCTAACTCTTCTGCTAGGTACCACTGAGTCAACGGTAGAAACCCAGATACTCTGATGATGATTTGGACATGTGCCAGAGTTGTAATCATTAGCAAGAACAGAGCGTTCGTTATGGCAAGTGAAGTGTGTTCCTTGTAGTATCTCTTGATGGCAAGCACTTGTAGTACGATAACAGGTGCCCCGAGTAGGAAATTCGGCAAGTTGTTCAAAGTCCAGTACTTGAACAGTCCAACGTTCCAGTATTCCCCCTGAGCAAAGTGGTAGAGCGATGGTAACATGGAGTCACACCATGGTCTCCCCGGACAGTACTCGACATAGGGAGCGTATAGTGAGGCCAATGAGCCCAACGCCAACGTGAGCCCACAGACCAGTGCGAGTGGGCTTCTCTTGATGATGAAGTCGTAAAGGTAAACCGTCCCCAGTACCAGTGTATTGCTTCGTGTCCAGAAGGCACCGATTAGCGGCACTGTGCTCAACAGGTATAGCCATCTGCTCTTGGAGTTTATGAGCAACAAGGCCAGAAACGACAACGCTGTTGCCAGGTTCTCGGAGTACGGCGCCATCATGAAGATTCCCTGTGCACTGAACAGGAATAGCACTGTCGACTTCATGGCAAACTTGACACCGTACAATGCCGTGGTCAAACGGAACAACAGCAGTGCTGATGTCAAGTGCAGTATATTCGATATGACGATACCAACGAGTATTGGAGATATCGACGAGGGCAACAGCCAATTGGAAACGAAACGAACCAGCGAGACCCATAACGGTCCAAATACCCACTCATGTTCAAACCGAGGCCCACTGACGAACAGCGAAGAGAAGTAGACCGCGTCCCATCGTATAAGCCTCTGAAGCACTCCGTTGATGTACTCGCTGCTTGACACGATAACCAACGGATAAATCTCTTGAGAGTTATCGAAAGTTGGCACAGGCAGGGAGAGAAGTGCGGTCTGCAGCAGCTTCAATAGCACAAAGAACCACAGGATGTTGAAAAGGTCCACTTGGAGAAACATTGCCCCGTAGATATGGCGATATAAGGTGAAGAGATGGGAGGCAAGCACCCCCATCGCCGTTGGAGTGAAGTTAGCGTAGCGAGACACGTAACACCCGAACACCGCAACACCACGCAACACCCGAACACCGCAATACCACGTAACACCCGAACACCGCAATACCACACGCACACCCAGACACCACCACCTGCTCGGTACGGGCAGCACACACAATACCCGCCCCCACCCACATCACCAATTCTGCGACACAAAACTCATCAAAACTTCAACATCAGCGGCTCCTCCACACTTTCCATCTTCTTCTCTCTTCACACTCACTCCGTCAAATGACAACTGGTGGACAAGAACACATCACAGAGCTATGCCATTGCCTAATCAAAGCTTCAAATTCGCTGCAAAGAAGTCGTTCAGGCAGATCAGGCCCAAGCGGTTGGTTGCTGGGGTTATGATGATCTGTCTCGTTGTTTACTGGCTGATGTCTGTTGGTGTGGATGACGACTACGAGGAGCAGGTGTTACAGCAGAAGCTGAAGGGCCTCCAGGCTCAGTCCGTGGAGCCCGAGCTGACGTCGTTTGTCGAGAAGACCAGGCACAAGAAGCCGAGCAAGGCCCATTTCTACCAGATGTCCAGTGGCCGATGTGAGGATTACAAGTCGTACTCTGAGGAGATCCACGAGCCCTTATCACTGGGCCCCTTAGGCCTACCGTTCCAGAGACCGCCTGTCCAGTGCCGGACGTTCACGTCGAGCGCCGTTGAGGCGTTGCTCGAGCAGTTGAAAGAGCGTATTGAAGACCCGGACCTTGCCAGGCTGCTTGAAAACACCTTGCCAAACACTTTAGACACCACTGTGCTCTGGCACAAGCCCCAAGGCAATGACAAGTTTGCTCAGACGTTTGTCGTCACTGGTGATATCCATGCGGAATGGTTGAGAGACGCGGCGAGACAGCTCTCAGTGTATCAGCCCTTGACCAAGGACGATCCACAGCTACAGGAGTTGATGCGTGGAGCCATCAACACACAGGCCTCGTTCATATTGGTGTCTCCATACTGCAACGCCTTCCATCCTCCTCCAGGCTCAGGCATCAAGAAAGGCGACACTGCGAGGGACTCGGTGTCGCCAATACCGCACTGGAAGTACGTGTTTGAATGCAAGTACGAGTTGGACTCGTTGGCCTCGTTCTTGACATTATCCAACGAGTACTTTGAGCAGACCAAGGACAGCTCCATCTTCAACGAGCTCTGGATCAATGCCATGTTGAACATCCTCACAGTCATCAAAAGAGAGTCTGTGCCTACGTTCAGCGAGGATGGCTCAGTGAACCCCTTCTACTACACCTTCCAGAGAAACACCAACATAGGCACGGAGACCCTACCATTGGCAGGAACAGGCAACCCTGTTAACTTTGGCACTGGCTTGGTGAGATCCGCATTCAGACCTTCAGACGATGCATGTACTTTCCAGTTCTTCATCCCTGCGAATGCCCATATGAGTGTGGAGTTGCTCAGAGCTGCTGAGAATTTGAAGTCTGTCAAGGATCAGATCGACGGCTTCCAGTACGAGGTTGATAGAATCATAAGGAAGTCGACGAATATATCCCAGACGATAAGGAATGCCATCTACAAGCACGCAGTTCGTGAGCATCCAGAGTTTGGGAGAGTGTTTGCCTACGAAGTCGATGGCTATGGAGGCTCAGTGTTGATGGACGATGCCAACATTCCCTCACTACTTTCCCTTCCGGACTTGGGCTTCGTGGACATCGACGACGAGATCTACCAGAACACGAGAAGAATGATCCTCACCAAGCGTGGTAACCCGTTCTATCTCCAGGGCTCTCACTTCAAAGGGATTGGAGGACCCCATGTTGGCATACACAACGCGTGGCCAATGTCGTTGTTGATGGCCATACGAACCACTGACGACGACGAGGAGATCAAGGAGAACTTACAGCTAGTGCTACAGAATACAGCAGGGTTGGGGTTAATCCACGAAACAATCCATGTCAATTTCAGAGATGGGCTGAGGTATACGAGACCATGGTTTGCATGGGCCAATTCCGAGTTTGGCAAGACTATATTGGATCTTGCAAAGAGGAAGCCTCACTTGATATTTAAGGATGAGTATAGCGACAAGCCCTTCGAGGTTTAGGCCCTCCAGGTTCAGCCCCTCCACGCTCAATAGGAGTCCTTTCCACTGATGATAACGTCGTTGATCTTCAAAATCATTCTTGTTAACTGTGTAGCCAATAGCAACTGCTGCTTCTTCCCGATGAGTGGATCAACGACGAATAGCTCCTTCATGTCGTTCGAGTCCTTCCCCAAGCAGTCCACACCCAGGTGCGAGTTGGCCTCCCTCACCTGTCTTGCCTTTACATTGGCTAACGTCTCTATAGGATCCAACCCGGAGTTCTCCGCAAGAGTCATTGGAACTTGATCCAGCGCATTGGCAAAGGCTCTGAAGGCGTATTGGCCTATGCCAGGTTGTTTATCAGCAGCTTCCGACACGGCAAGAGAACATGTGATCTCAGCAGCACCACCTCCGTACACAACACGGGAGTCCTTGATCAAGTTACGCACAACACACAGAGAATCGTGCAAAGCACGCTTGGCCTCATCGACAATCATCTTGTTTGAGCCTCTGATGAAGCAGGTCACGGCCCTGGAGTTTGAGCATTCTTCAATCACCAGCATACGGTCTCTTGTTGTACCGAATTCCAGCTCACGGACTTTGCCAGCTTTACCCAGCTTATCAGCCGACAAGTCTTCGAATCTTGGAACAATACGGCCGTTTGTTGCAATGGCAATCAGCTCCAGCTCAGGACCACCAACCCAGCGCACAGCAGGCAAGTGGTGTTGCAAGAGAAGATGGTTTGCCTCATCGTCAAACCCCCACTGGCAAATGACCAAGTTGGCACCTGAGTCCTTAACCCTTGAAACCATCTCCTTGAACTTGTCCTGTTCGTAGTCCTGGAGGTGCTTGAACTCCTCCACTGTGGAGATGTCCAGCTTGTGCTTTGTCTTTGGCTTTGGAGGCTCGAATGGGCATGTCAAGATGGCGATCTTGACATCCTCGATGTACTTTGGCATCTGAGGATGGGAGAAGTCCTTGTCGATGATGACACCTTTGATGAGCTTGGAGTCCTCGAGGGAGCCACCCACTTTGCCTTCCACTTTGATCAGCTCGAAGTCAACGTCCTTACGCTCCTTGTCAGCAACAGAGAGCACCGCGTCGACAGCCATCTGAGCAAACTGATCGTGGGCCTTTGACACGATCTTGGAGCCCAGCGACGTCTTCGCAGCCCTCAGCAGGATCTCCACGTTGCTCTCGATGTCGTCGGCTTCCTTGTCGAGCTGGTCGATGGCAACCTTGCACGCCTCGTCGAAGCCATTGGCGATCTTTATAGGATGGATGCCCTTGTCGATCAGCTCCAACGCCTGGTCCAGCAACGCACCAGCCAGCACAACAACACCCGTGGTGCCGTCACCGATCTCGTCATCCTGGGACTTGGACAGCTCCACCAGCAGCTTGGCAATCTCGTTGTCCAGCTCCATCTGCGACAGAATCGTCGCCCCATCGTTGGTGATGGTGATCTCACCATCAGGGCTCACAAGGATCTTATCCAGCCCACGAGGCCCCAGCGACGTCTTGATGATGCTCGCAACAGCACGAGCAGCAAGGATGTGCTGCTTCTTGGCCTCCACGCCGTGCACCCTCTTCTTGTTGCCCTGGTCTCTCACAATGATGAAAGGTCTTCCCATCTCGTCCTGTGCAACGATGGCATTGGACATATCCGGCATCTCCATCATTTGCTGTGCCATTATGCTCTATCTTTTCCTTTCTTCGTGGTCCCGTTTCAATACTCTCAGTACCAATCGGAATAGCCAAACAGATCAACAACACACGGGGAAAGTTGGTGGTGAAAGCCCAGGTTTCTGTTGATGGTTTTGGTGATGATTTTGGTGAAGATTCTGTGATGGGCGGAAAGGCGAAAAAAAGGCGAAACCCGAGGGGTTACTTCAGGTAGGGTAACACCTCGGAATATTACATAAGCACGTCACGTGACGATCCGCACGCCGAACACGTGACACGTCACTCCCCGAGCTCATCGCCTCGAAAATTTTCCACAGCCTTTTTCCATTATCTGGTTTATATACATCCAACTCCTCTCGAATGTGCCTCTCGAACCACTCGTACAAGTCCAATCAGCCGTTGCACGATGAGCGTCGTTGGTAGTTTGATCTTCTGCGTGGACTGTGGTAATCTCCTGGACTCCTCCAACAGCCAGAAACGTATCAGCTGTACCGATTGTCAACGCTCATACGACTCGTCCAGTTTCGCCAACCTCAAGGTTGTGACCCGTTCCAGTGACGATGCCTTCCCATCGGCACTCCGGTTGAAGAAGTCCGTCGTCAAGACCGTGCTGAAGAGCAGCGAGCTCGAGGAGGGAGCCACGATCAAGGAGAAGTGTCCGCAATGTGGCAACGAGGAGATGCAATACCACACATTACAACTGCGTTCAGCTGACGAAGGTGCCACTGTCTTCTACACGTGCACCGGGTGTGGCTACAGATTTAGAACCAATAACTGATTACCAATAAACAACGTGATTCATTATTACCTAGAAACTTTCCCATAAAGCTCATACGCCCCCAAGATTACACCACTAAACCTCCACGGAGTTCTCGTACTCGTACATGTCCAGTGCGACGATGGCAGAGTCCCTCACAACCTCATCCGAATCAGTTGCAAAGTCCTTCAACACTGGCAGCACGTCGTCCGTCGCAATGGACCCCAATGCCTCGGCAGCCTCGTGTCTCACCATCGGAGCCTCGTCCTGTCTCTTCAGCACCTCGACGAGCGCAGGCACAGTGACAGGGTTGGACAGCTGGCCAAAGACGTAGGCGATCTCATGCTTGAACAGCGCACTTGGGTCGTCGAAGCCGGTGGCCAGGGCCAGACACGCCTCATCAGTGGCTATGTCTCTCAGCCTGAACATGGCCCTGTAACGGATGAACAGGGGCTCGTCCTGGTCATTGAGGATCTTTGTCAGTTTGTCCAGGTCGTAGTCCTTCTCCAGCGATAGCGGAGGCGCAGGGTCGATGGACGAGAACGCACTCGCCTGGAGCTTCTCCTGCTTGGACTTCTCGCTTGTTTCCCAGTTGATACGTTCAATTGCCAGCTCACAGGTCTGTCTGATCTCGAGAAGCGGATCGTGCTCGTAGTAGTGCTTCAGCAACGCCATTGAATCGACATCGCCTAGCGCACCAAGTGCCTCCGCAGCCTCGTGTCTCACCATGCACTGCTGGCCTTCCTCGTCCTTCAGCACGTCCCTAAGCATGGGAGCAGAGTCCATGTTCTTCGTCTGGCCCAGCACATACGCAACCTCGTGCTTCAGCAGCTCTGAGTCGTCCTTGAACGACTCCGCAATGTACTGCACTGCCCTTTTGGCATCCTCCGGGTTGCTTTCCCACTCAGAGCCAATGTGCTTCAGGTCAAACAACGCCCTGAATCGCTTGCCCAGCTCCACGTCGCCGGACTTGTTGATGAGAGTATCACGCAGCTCCTCTAATAACCCCATGTTTGCTCTTGAAAGCTGTGTTGTGGTGTGTTGTGGTGAGAGATGAGATGAGATGAGATAGCAAAAGAGGTGTTTTCCGCTTTATGTCTCGAAAATTTTTCACTGCTCCATCACCAGATTGTGGGAAAAAACGCGATGAGATGAGCTTGGCGCCCGGCGTAAGTGTGGGCACGGGGCTGCCTGGACGGTGGGAGTTTCAGCGTAAATGTGGGCACGGAGGGTGTGCGAGGCCGTGGAGGGAGGGGGTTAAGGCGTGGACTCCAGGCCTATGGGTTCTTCACTAATCGAGCATCAAACGCCATAAGATGCCAATTGAAACGCCAAAGCTCCGTGGAAAGACCTTGATCATCCCGTCCGTGTCCATCGGCAACGTGCCACAGCTGTCGGTGGACTTGTTGGTACACAATTTGCCCTTTGAATGGGCGTGTTCCATGGACCATACGCTGCTATACCCGTTTGCCTCTCCTGTTGATTCCCTGGACGACGAGGAGCCAATTGACCGTGGGATATCCACAGGGATCGAGCTGTATGTCGATGAGACCCATGGGCTGGCACTGGTGCAGCAGAGGAGCCCGATCTTGCCCGGTTATGGCTACAAATTCGTCCAGTACCTGAGCCAGTTCATCAGGGAGTCCCAGTTCCAATCCGTGGTTGTGCTGGACTCTCAGGACTATACACTCAAGAGCACGCTGGACGCCAGCTGCCCAATTGAGATCGTGTCGAACGACCTGAGCGAGCAGTTCAAGCAGTTCTCCATAGAACAAGAGGATAACGAGGAGATGGTGCTGTCCCCCTACGTTAGAGCCCTGACGAATGCTATCAAGGGAGTGACTACTGTGTATGCGGTTGTGATGTTTGTCTACGAGGGCGATAACAGAGTCGACTCGCAAGTGCTTGCTGATAAAGTGCTGAAGCTTTTAACCATCTCGTCGCCTGCTGGCCAGGGATGGAATCATCCTAAATCGTGGCGTTCATTATACGGAGATCGTCCTTTGCCTCGTGGGTTGGAACAAGGTATATACGGTTAGCTGTACAATTCAACCACTCTTTGCTCAACGCCATCCAGTACACTTTCGTATGAAATGATCCGTATGTCGTTTGCCTCGGCCAGCATCACTTTGTCCTGCTTTGGAGCCCCCAGCATCATTGGTGGAGGCTGTCCACCTTGAAGCATCATCTGCTGTTGCAATTGTTCTCCCATGGACTCGTCGTTGAACAAAACGTTCATGACACTCACAAGCCCCATGCTGGCGATGAAATACCACGATATTGAGCTGACCCACCGGACGTCGAGGTCATCTGTAGCGACTCCATTCTGTAGCATCTGCTTGAACCTCAGCGTCAGTGGGAAGGGCAGTTTCATCAGCACAAAGCCCATGAAGAAGAAATTGACCCACGACATCATCGCAGTCTGAGCAATCATGTTCCCGAACTGGCCCTTGGCCATGTCCATCATACCATCCATGCCGTTGGAGTCCAATGGGTTCTGAGGCTCGTTGTTCGGGTCTTCAGCCAATAGCGAGCCGTCGGTGAGCCTCTTCACGTGCAACGACTGTCTGTTGATGAAATCGTGTTTTGGCAGCACCCAGTAGTTCCTCTTGAACACCTGCGCACTCTTCAACCCTTCCAATTCCCTGAACTTGGCCAATGGTTGTAACTTTGGAGACGGTGATGTCAAAATGGCTATCGTATGTCTCAGCAGGGCAAATACCAGCAGTGCTATGGAGATCGGCACAAGAACCCAGTACTTCAGCGCAGGATCGATGATCAGATCCGGAACACCCATCTCTGTTTGGATTGAGCCTTTGTGTGTGATGCTGAGCAGCTTTTGAGGTGCAATGACCATTGGTTGTGTGCGAGGAGAGGGCTCGATGTGATTGGCCGGGAAGGGGAAGTGCACGAGGGGGTACACATCCGGACACCAATAAACACCTGGACACCAATAAACACCCAAACACCACCAAGAAACCCGGACACCAATGAACATCCGAACACCACAGAGCATATATACCCTCAGCTGCACAAATTTTCCAACTACTCCAACCACCAGAAGCTCATCGCTCACCAACAATTCACCCTTTTCGAGTACAAACAAGCGTATAAACAAGCAATAAGAGATGGCTCCACAGACGGTGCTGTGTATCGGAATGGCCGGGTCCGGAAAGACCACGTTCATGCAACGGTTGAACTCCCATTTGCACTCCAAGAAGCAGGTTCCATACGTTATAAACTTGGACCCAGCAGTGCTGAAGATTCCGTTTGGTGCCAACATTGACATCCGGGACTCCATCAAGTATAAGAAGGTGATGGAGAACTATAACTTGGGTCCGAATGGTGCGATTGTGACCTCTTTGAACCTGTTCTCCACCAAGATTGACCAGGTGATTCAGATTGTTGAGAAGAAGTCTTCTCAATATGAGAAGGTGATAGTCGACACGCCAGGACAGATCGAATGCTTCATATGGTCAGCGTCCGGTGCCATCATAACAGAGGCCTTTGCATCGTCTTTCCCGACGGTGATTGCATACATTGTTGATACTCCGAGAAACACGTCGCCAACCACCTTCATGTCCAATATGCTGTACGCATGCTCGATCCTTTATAAGACGAAATTACCAATGATCATCGTGTTTAACAAGACAGACGTCACGAAGGCTGACTTTGCCAAGGAGTGGATGACGGATTTCGAATCGTTCCAGGCGGCTCTGAGAGAACAGGAGGCCAATGAAACGGATGGAAGTGGCTACATGAACTCGTTGGTCAACTCCATGTCTTTGATGCTGGAGGAGTTCTACTCCCAGCTGGATATCGTTGGTGTATCGAGTTTCACAGGAGAGGGATTCGACGAGTTCCTGGATGCTGTGGACAACAAGGTGACGGAGTACAACGAGTATTACATGGCTGAAAGGGAAAGAATCTTGAAAGAGAAGGCTGAGAAGGAGAAGAAGCGTAAGGAGAAGAGCTTGAACAGCATGATGAAAGATATGGGCCTGGACGAGGCCAAGAAGGACGAAGTTGACGTTATCTCAGACACAGAGTCGATAGAGGAAGGCGAGAACGACGGATTGGTGCTACGTGATGAAGATGAAGGCATCGAGGCTGATAGAGAGTACACATTCCCAGAAGATCGACAGTCAGGGGAGATCAACGATAGATCCAGCGAGGCTCTACAGCAGAGATACCAGGATGCCTATGAACAGACTGCAAAGAGTGCGTCGAGCCAGACCGCGGAGAACATAGCGAGATACATCAACCAAACTCAATGAATCTATTAGTATTATATACGGCCAAGGATCAATAAACAGTAATAACAACATCAAACAACACACTTAAGCAGCTAGTGGACTCCAATCACAGATAACTCCAATGTCCACACACGTCGTATATGAACGTTGACCGTGACGGTACGCTCAACACCATCTTTGCCCATTATACCGGGGACTTCTAGTTCAATGGTTTCATTATTCCACCAGCACTTTCTTGCAGGCTTACGCCAAAACAACAGCAACTTGGAAGAGGTGCCTGCACTTCTACGTGGTTTGTTGCTGCTACTGCTGCTTCTTGAAGCTGATCTCGAGGCTGATCTGGCAGCGTTGGTTGCCAACTCTGCCAACCTGGAGCGACGAGACTTTGGCTGAGTGTTCACACTCGAGTTCGACGCCACGGGGTCCAAAGATGGCGAGTCGCCAGGCGTGTGTGGAGGCTCTGGATGCTTCAGGTCCACCAAGGCAAGCGATGTCACCACGGTCTTGCCAGGCTCTGGCGAACGATGGCCCCAGTTGGTCTCGAGAGTGAAACCTGAGGAGCACAACATGTTCATCAAATGGTCCTCAGCAGGCCCCAACTTCTTGCCAGGCTTGTAGCCCAACCCTTCAAACACGTTGGTACGGTTCGCCAAGTAACTGCCAGCAGCCATCTTGATGGATCTGATACCAGGAGCCCCGATCCCCTTGTGAGGAGGAATCACGTAGTAGTCCATATCCTCTCTCAACACGATGATCGCAGGCTTCTCGTTCAAAACATCGGCATCAGGCGTCTGGTACACCTCGTACACCTGCGGCTTGGTGCCCTGAGGTAGCTTCTTCGCAGCAGCGGCGAAGGAGTCCACGATGTACTTGAAGCAAAGCGGGTCAAAGTTCACATACACAACGTCCTCCTCCGTGAGGTTGGTCAGCGTATTTCCCTCCTCATCCATGAAAACACCGTTCGGGAACAAGCACAGGAGAATGCTCTCCGGCAAGTTCATCAATTCATCCCGAGTGATGCGGAACAGCTCACCGCGGATGTTCAAGTTCACAGTCGATCCAAGATCAACGTCGTCATCATCAATCACCGCCTGCTGGTACTGCTGCTGCTGCTGCTCAGGGCTCACCTGTGTCACAATGTTACTGTACGACATGGCCTTGTTCTATCTCTCCACGGCTCTCGTGATCGTTCTGTCTCTCTCGCCCGCTCTCTCTGTTCTGTTCTCTCAACAACGGAGGCTATGGACGACGTTCTTCTCTGTTTGAACACTGCAATGTTGGTGATGTTTGCAGTTGTTTTGTCCTCTTTTCCCTCGGGAATTTTTTCTTTCTTTGCTGTGTTTGTGGCCGCGGCGAATTTGGCGGGAGAGAAACGGGAACGGTGCGGGAAAGTCACGTGGGGTGGCACGTGACGTGTATGGAATTAGTCATAGGTGGTACGGGCACGCACAGCATTATATAACAATTATATAATAATATAATACACCGCTGTAATAATTCGCCTCATTAATGCATAGGGTGTATATGTCATCAACACCCAAATCAGTAGGCCCAACTCGGCAGATTATTACACACTCTCTTTCCAGCATTGGCGATACACCAGGCTGCAAACAACAAGCAGACGACGAGCAAACAACGATGACCACCGAAGAGCCAATTGACGACATATGGGGTGGAGACAGTGACGACGAGCCCTGTGCAAGTGCCGACATTGCTAAGCTACGTAGAATACACAACAAGCAAGGCTACCTAGATGGAATCTCGAGAGCTAAGGAGTCGACTCTTCAGAGTGGCTTCGACTCAGGATACCCTGAAGGGGCGCAGTTGGCGATAGAAGTTGGCAAAATATTGGGTGGCCTACAGCTATTGGCTTCACTTCCGGCTCAAGACCCTCGTAGTGAAGCAGCCAGACAGCTACTCTCAAGGGCAAAGGTTGAGCTGCACATATCGAGAGTGTTGAGCTGGAGATACTTCAACGAGGACCTCACCTTACCACAAGATGGTCACCGTCTGATTGTTCAGTGGAAACACAGGGTCGATCAACTATACAATTCAATATAAGCATGATTCGTTGATACTTGTACGATGTAGCTACAATACGCCATTGCAATTCTACCACTATGGTGTATAAAACAGTACTTTTTATTTGCTCAATGTGTTATATCACTCAACACAGATCAATAAATACGTCACCAGAAGGAGCACCATCCGATGTAATGTTGGCATAGGTTCTCCACTGATGTTGCCTGCTGAATCAGCTTATCAACTTGACACGGAACGTTCAACTCCTTAAACCTCCGGAAATCGTTTCCAGTAAGCTTATCAGTGATACGTTTCAGAACCAACGAGGCTCTAGCGTTACGAATCTCAACTTTCTGTTGCATCTCCAATCTTGTTGCCTCCGCTTCATCTATCTGACCACGGCGCAAAAGGTCTGCAGTGTTAACGTGTTGTAATTTGATACCGGTAGCATCAACAATGGCCTGTGTTGGTAAATCGAACCCCCAGTTGATCAATGGATCATACGCAAATGCTTCCAGGATGGCCATAAGCGATTCCTTATTATCACGTAAAACTGTCATGACGTGTTCACATGTGATACGGAAAGAGCCTTCGATTCCACTAACCTCCATGGCATAGGTCAACATACGTGTCAATCTGAAGGGAACCTTTTCAGGGTATTTCTCACGTAAGATGGCAGCTTCGAAACAATCACCGAAATCGATATGGATGACTTTACCAGTGATACGATCCAACATCAAATTCGAAGGATGTCTATCACCAAGACCCAAGATGTAACCAACCATACTCATAACGGCAAGAGATCTTGTGTACGTGGTTCTTCTGTCCAACCAAGATTCAGATGATCTAGATTTAAGCCATAAAACTTTGTACAAATCTTGTCCCCTCGTGTTATCCAAGGCGTATGTGAAAACTTCAACTTTTTGCAACAGTGTCAAATTGTCATAATCTGGTGCCATTTGCAACATGATACGATGTTCAACGTTCAGAATGATGTTTCTGGATTCACGGTATTCACGGATCAAGACATGGAAAGTATCAGAATTTGGAACCCATCCAAGGAGACCCGATTTCGGAGAAAGAGGAATTGCAGGGAATTGTTGAATGTTCAAATGTCTCTTGAAACATTCTGGATCATTAAGAAGTAACGTATTACACAATCCAAACAGTTGCATAACCAAATTATCCTGACGAATATCTTCATGACCTTTCAACAAATAGTAGTATTCCTTACCGTCGCTACCCTTAATTCCAATACGACGTGGTCTTTGCTTCGAAGAGATGACAGTTAAAACAGGCTCAAAGTTCATAATTCTAACGACTGGCTTACCAGGTTGGTAAGTACCAGGGGCAGCAAGTTTCAAGTCATGTGCATGTAATAGCTTTGGAGACACGTATTGTAATTCCAAAGTTTGTAACTGAGGCAATTGTCTGTTGATACGACGGAAGACATTGTAATAAATATCCCAAGCTTGGTTCAACTTTGAGATATCATTGGTACGTCTATAACTCAACACCCATTCAAAGGCATTGCTTAATTCACGTCCAAACGTATTTTGGAAAGAAACTTCTCTTAAAGTCTCAGGACCACGTTCAAGCATTCTGTGTAAAGGTTCCAACACAGCATACATCTTTTCAGTGTTGTGCTCACCGAAGAATAATCTGGAGGCATCTTCTAATCCCTCATACCACAATTCGTGCCATAGAACTGCAACTCTAATCAATTCATTACTCACCAACTCGCTCTGCTCAATCAAATCGGGACTGTGTATCCTCATCTTATCGATAATTGTAGATGCAGCCCTTTGTCTAGAAACAGAATCAGACTTAACAGCAACCGCCAAGGTATACACAAGAGCCTGAGGATGTGCCTTACCTAAATCAGATAACAATCCATGAAGAGATCTGCTCACAGTCTGGTTAGGCTGATGGATACGAGAAATCAATTGAGGTATAACTTCTAGCCAGGTATCGATTTTGACCATACTGAAGCCTTCAGCCATCGCCTGAGCAGCTTCTGTAACACCACCAAAGGTAAACCAGAGTGTTAACAACCTCAAGGTATCTTGCAAGGGATTGGCATCTGATAATGCAATAGAATGGAAGAAACCCTTGATAGCTGGGATAACGTGTTGTTGAATTAAACCTGGAGGATATTGAGATTCAACTTCATCAGTAGCAGCACTTGGCGAAGTCTCACTAATTGAGGACTTTGAAGTTAAGAGCGAAATAACCTCAAAGTTTGCCAATGCCCAATTGTGCCATGCTTTATACCATTGACTGTCGAAATGGGTCGCCAACAAGAAAGAGCCCAAGATTGTGTCAGCATTTTCGGTTCTCCAATTGTTCTGTAGCTGAACTTGCCATTCACCTTGTTTTAAGAAACATCTCGCCAGTAGTTTGGTATACTCCTCAACGTTCTTAATATTACTATGGGATGGCAATGGCTGTGTGATTAAATCGTCTGGATTCAAACCCAAGTCATGAGACATTCTTGAAGTGAAATCGATCAAATGTCCAAGCGCCTCTTTCCTAGACCCAGTGGCCCACATATACTTCAGCTGAGCATAAACAACCTGTGGTGGAGCTCTAGATGTATTTGGGTCCTCACCTTCTTCCAGTAACGAGTTCAGAGCCTTTTCAGCAAGACCAAGACGGCCAGATTTTCTGCACAAATTTGCAAACTTAATCCACATGTCCATATCTTGTTTTGGCTTGATAACAAGCGTGCGGACCTTCAGCATTCTTTGCCAAATATCAACATTACGTTGACAACCCATCAATCTTGCATTCCACGTCTTTCTCATGACCACACGAGTTTCCGACGATTGTGGTAAATTCTTATACTTGATAATCTCTTCCAGTTCTGCAAGCATTTGGACTCTCACGACAACACCGTATGCACGGCTATAACTTTCACTCACAAGAGCAGTGATCTCAGTAACCAACAGATCTCTGGCTTTGATGATATGACGAGAAGCTTCATCAAAGTTATTTCTATGAAGACATAAGATCGCATTGAAGAAAGCCCTGTCTGGTGATTCTGGTTTCATGACAGTGATATAAGTGTCCATTCTCTCCCATTGTCCTAAACCCCATGCGGCAGCAGCAGCCAAAGGAGCAACAGCTCTTTTGATATCAGTAGATGAGTTTGTCCATTTCTCCTGGGCCAGTTGGGAGAGTTGATCCCATTCACCAAGAGCATGTAAACAACGCATCTTACCCATGGTGGTCTCAATACTATCCTCGTGACGATCGTTATACGCTTTGAGAGCATCTTCCCAACGTTGTAGTTTCTCATACCAAGTTTCCTTGAGTTGAAGATCATGGTGCTGCTGGGCATGTTTAAGAATACCGATAGCGGCATCAGATTGCTGTAATTGATTATTGATCGAGATCAAGGCCTCAATAGTTGGCGTTGATGGTTCCTGACTGAATTCAAGTTCCTTATAATGTAGGGCCTTGGCATAAGCATGACATCTTTGGGCGTATTGACCCAATGTTGAAATATGGATAGGGAGTGGCTTGTCGTCGTGTTCCATAAACTCAGCCAAGTTCAACAAAGTCTGATAGATCTCAGGTGGATTGTTTGGAGAGGAAAGGGCAGTACAAAGTGACTGTACCAACTCTTCCTGATGCTGAGTGTAGAGTTCACTCCAACAACTCGCAAAACTGGCATTGAAAAGATCTCTCGCCAGGGGATAGTAACTACTAGCAAGTGCAGAACAAGCTCTTAATGCATGCGAAGGAGACTCTTTTAACAACTGAACACTCAAGCGTCTGTTCCACTCTTGCCAATCTTCCTTGGTACGACACTGAGAACATTGCCATGCATTTTTCAAGACCTGTTGGTTCACTGGCAATTTCTTTGACGGCTGTTCGATTGGATCAGCAGAATCATTGGCATCGGCTTCTTTGTCAAGAATCAAATTATGAGGTAACGGCTCATCGTTCAGCAACTTGTTAACTAATTGATCATAAGTTTGTGATTGAATTTTGTTCTTCACAAGAACCTTGTTGATAACGGGAATGAAAACACTGAATTCTGTACCCATCTGGAGCAACATAAGACTCAACGTGTTCATTGAAGCACGCGTCAACTCATCGTTTTGGTGAGTCCCTAAAACTCTGAGTAAGCTGTGTACGATTCTTGAGGACATATCATTGAGGTTAACATTTCTTGAGAGCCTTCCAACTGTAGTGATTGCAGATTTACGAACATTCTGAGGACCATATTCGAACAACCTCACGACATTAGGAACTATGAGATGGATGTAGTCCTCAATGTTAGAACCAAATACAACAAATGCCTTTAGTACCCTCAGAGAAACATTTGGCTGTTTTTCATTTCCCAGAGCATCCAGCAGTAATGGAAGAACAGGTGGAAGATGAAACTTGAATTCGCCTCCTAACGCCTTAGCAATTGACTCAATCAAGGATACAATAGTAACCTGTAAGTTTGCGAGATGGAAAAATTCCTTAATGACATCGAAAACGTCAGCCAAATGCGGCCTGATATGCTGTTTCACAATACCTATCAATGCACTCAACTGTTGGAAGTAGAACTCCAGCATTGATGGCGGACATGTATGCATAACATTGATGATGGCAGAAATGGTCGAACCAGTAAACTTCAGACAAGTGATAGTAATAGTTTTGAAGATCAGAACAATAGTTTGAATACACGAGGAGTGATATGCAGCAAGAGATGTATCTTTCAAGATTTTCATTAACGTGTTGATAACCACGGTTGGGTAATACTCCTCATTTGATGGACTCATACCTTGCATCAACAAGGCAACATCTGTGGGTGGACCTTCAACTGTGATGTTCTTTGATGTTCTTTCAACTTCTTTGTGCTTGTAAGGGTCCAAAGCACCCAAAATACCTAACAATCTCACTGTTTCACGTCTGATAGTTGGAGAATTCTCTGATTTCAGAATATTGATAATGACACTGAGTAATTGAGGGTAGTCCAACAAAGGTTGGATAACATAACCGGAAGAACCTGCCAACTGACCTAAAGTCTTCAAAGCGGCATCACGTTTGAAAGAGGAGCTCTGATCTTGGAAAGTCTCAAGAATCAACGGCATCAAATCGGGAATGAATGGCTTAATATCTTCACCTGCAACAACAGATAGCTCACCTAGAGCAGCAATGGATGACGAAGCCACAGATGCAGATTTATCTCTTGATTTTGGTAACAAGACGTCGATTATTGGCTTTGTATAGGGTTTTGCAATGCTCTTTGAAGAACTAATCAAAAGAGAAAGCAAAATGGCGGATTCTTCCTTCTTTCTGCTTGCAGTGGAATACTCCAACTTGGTTAAGAGTTGAATCAATGTCTTTCTCAAAAATGGAACGATATAAGCTGGGTTTATCGTTGACAAGCGACCAATAATTTGGATCGCAACTTTTTGAATGGCAAACACCTCATCATTAAGTGCCATGAATAAGAGCCTTACATTGTCAGCTTGCGATAGTTGAGGGTCAAAATTTTTACCCAGTGAAGTCAACACTGCCAATCTGATATCTGCCACAGGGTCTGTAATGGCAATTGTGATCAGTTTGTCTAAAATTTCGGACACAGCGTTTAACGCATAACTTGAAGTTTGAAAGCAAACAGAGTCCTTCAGTAGTAAGTCACAAGAGGTTAGAGCAGCCATTTTACGCACTTCACGATTCTCATGTTCAATGTATGTGATTGTACAATATCTCACAAACTCGAAGAGGGATTCATTTCTAAAATTGAAAAACCCCAACATCTTCAATGCCTGAATAATAATGACGTCGTCGTTATAAGTACCATTGCGTGAAAAGTGTGACTCTCTAAATTGAAGTGCTAGTTGTGAACTCATTCGTTTTGGTGAATTTGGTGAACCGGGTTGTGCAAAGGAATAACCCGATAGGCAGAAACTCAACAGATTCAAAGTCTTTTTGTTGATAACCGGTTCTAAAGGCGGTATTCTTTGGGATAACGTCAATAAACACTCACGCATATGATCACTCAAAGAACAGGAGAGGAGTAAATCAAGAATGTCCCTTTGGAGGTGCTTTGTCAATGCAGGTCCCACAGCGTAGGATAGCTTATCAATGCAGTAAAAGATAGCAGGTTCGATATCTCTTCTTGTTCTTGACCTTGAATGTAGCCCTTCACGGATGTTATCCAAAATGGCGTCCAAGTAAGTTGTTATTTGGCCTTCAACCTGGAAACTGATGTCACCAATGGAGATGAGTATTGCAGAACGCTCCGACTCCTCTTTCAACTGTGACAGGTAAAAGATCATTGTACGGTGCAGGTATTTTTCCACAAACTTTTGAGAGTTATAAGCAGCTAATAACGGTATGATATGTGCCACCTCCTGTCTTATGATGTTGTACTTGTGTTCCCTGTATTTGAACGTTGTTTCAAAGAGAGCATCGTACTTGTCCTGGATGAACATACCACCCTTTTTAACGAGCTCCTTAAACACCAACAGCGAGCCGTGGATCGACTCCGACGTGTTCATCTTGAAACCTTGCGATGCGCCGTCGATCAGCTTGTTGAACCAGTTCTTCTTCAGGTTGAGATCTCTTTCGTACACAACATCCAGGCACCTCTCGAGCGCCTGCGCGGCGTCGATTCGTATCACCAGCTTTGGGTCTCTCAGTGCAGACCAGATGTTCTCCAGAATGGTATTCACATACGTGTAGAACAACGTTGGTGAGTTCTCGGCAATCGCCGCAATCACCAACACCGCAGCGTGGCGCTTGGACTCGTTCTTCTCCGTCTGTAACAGCTCTATCGCGTTCCTCGTCTCGTAATCAACAAAGTCGCTCGTCAGCGACCCGCCAGGAATCGCAAGCTTACCAAGCGTCTTCGCCGCCAGCTTCATGATCTCAACGTCCTGGGAAGGTATCAGGAACCGCAGGTAGTTCGCCAATCTCGACGTCTGCGACGGCAAGTCCTCACCGCCAAAGAAATCGATCAGCGTGTCAACAGCCAAGATACCGCCAATGTTCTCAGAAGGGTCCGTGCCGTGCACCAGCTCGAAGATCTTGTTGTTGATCTCGTTGTTGTACCTCGTGAACTGCTCTGGCGATACTTCCCTGGCCGTCGTGGTGAGCTGAGACTTGAACTCCGCGACAGCGGCCAGGCGCTCCGTCGGCGACGGCGACTTCAGCTGCTGGAAGATGTGTTGTAGAGCGAAGGAGTCAGTGGGCTGTGACATCGTGCTCGTTGATGTTGTTGTTGTTGTTGTTGTTGTTCCCTTCCTCCTGGAGCGGGTTCCGTGCCTTTGTGTCGCTGCCGCTGAGTCTTGTGGTTCCCCTTTGGGCGGCTCCTTAGTTTTTGTTTATCGGCTGGCGGGGAGTTCCGAGGGGGGGGGGCACGCAGTGCCCCTGGGCACATTCCGAGGACAGGCCTTTTTACACGGAGGGCAAGGCACACGCAGCAGGCAGTGATCGTGGGGGCTACACTGATCTGAAGTGTTTATCCCCTTGGAAACGACCGCTTATACCGTCACACACCCAATTGAGCAATGTCTTCGCCACTCCACCGCCGGCTGAGTGGTTGTTGTCTCCGCTGAGCTTGCCCATTTGAAGAGGTGTGCGGTGTGTGTGTGGCCCGCGAATTTCGGTCCCCTGTTCCTGCTCCCTCTCGAAACGGAAAACGAATACACAATGCTCACACTTTCCACAGCTTCCAGTATACTCTGTGTGTATAGAATCAGACGATCAACAGCCTTTCAACGATGTCATATAGCTCTACGCCGGCGGTTGTTATGGGTATGTGATATGGTATTTAGTCAATTCTGGCTGTGTTGTGTACTAACGAGTATCTGTAGACAAGTGAGTGGATTCTAGGGGGTGGGGATTATAGTGCTGTGAATATGGCTTGTGCTTATTCAGGCTCGTGTGTTTTATCCTTGTTTCCTTTGCAATGGAGGAGTATTTACTAACGTTATACAACTACAGCGGTACCGGTCTCACGAAGTTGGGTTTTGCCGGTAACGATGCGCCTTCATATGTGTTTCCAACGGCCATTGCTACCCGTTCAAGTGGATCTGGCAAGCCAGCAGCACCGGCAAAGCCTTCGTTCCTCGGAGGCTCGTCAACAGGCGCAGCGCAGTCGTCGTATCTCTCAAGCAAGCGTGGTACTGAAGATCTGGACTTCTTCATCGGTGACGAGGCCATCGAGGCTTCAAACACCCAGGCCTATTCCTTGAGTTATCCGATTAGACACGGCCAGATTGAAAACTGGGATCATATGGAGAGATTTTGGAAAAACTCCATCTTCAAATACCTCCGTTGTGAACCTGAAGATCATTACTTCTTGCTGACAGAACCTCCTTTGAATGCTCCCGAGAACAGAGAACATACTGCTGAAATCATGTTTGAATCCTTTAACTGTGCAGGTTTATACATTGCGGTACAAGCGGTTCTTGCGTTGGCTGCTTCCTGGACTTCTTCAAAAGTTGTCGATAGATCCTTAACAGGTACAGTCATTGATTCAGGTGACGGTGTTACCCACGTCATCCCGGTTGCGGAAGGCTATGTCATTGGATCTGCCATCAAGAACATCCCATTGGCTGGTCGTGACATCACCATTTTCATCCAAAGTCTTCTCAGAGATCGTGGTGAAGCTGACACTTCATTGAGAACCGCAGAGAAGATCAAACAACAATTCTGTTATGTGTGTCCAGACATTGTCAAAGAGTTCAACAAGTTTGACCGTGAACCTGAAAAGTTTGCCCAGTATATTGTCGAGACGGCACGTTCGAAGAAGGTGGTCGATGTCGGTTACGAACGTTTCCTTGCACCTGAAATCTTCTTCAGCCCAGAGATTGCCTCACCAGATTTCCTCACGCCTTTGCCTGTTGTCGTGGACCATGTCATCCAGGCATGTCCAATCGATGTCAGAAAGGGACTTTACCGTAACATTGTCCTCTCTGGTGGTTCCACAATGTTCAAAGACTTTGGCCGTCGTTTGCAACGTGACATCAAGCAGATTGTCAACACACGTATCACCCAGTCTGAGAGATTGAGCTCCGCCAAATCTAGCGGTGTCGACGTTGAAGTCATCTCACATAGAAGACAGAGAAATGCCGTGTGGTTTGGAGGTAGTTTGCTCGCACAGACAAGCGAATTCCAAAGCTACTGCCATACAAAGGCTGATTATGACGAGTATGGTCCAAACATTGTGAGAAACTTCTCATTGTTCAGTGTGCCATGAATGAGCCAGCCATTGAAGAATTTGTATACATAGAGCTTTCCAAAAAGAATAAAGAACAGACAATGTTTACTTACACACGTAGATTTGCGATGTAGTCTGGTGGCTTTCGCTCTTGAGTCTAGGAGTCTAAACGAGGGTTATATTCCATTGTGAATTCGTAGAGCTGGAAGAGCTTTCAGAAGCGATACTTGCCACTTAGGCATAGAGATTACTGATGTTACAATATGTGCAGGAAAACTCACCGAGAAAGCGTTGTTCCGCCTGCTTGGCCAAGTGGTAAGGCATCGCACTCGTAATGCGGGGATCATGGGTTCAATTCCCATAGGAGGCA